ATCTTTATGCTTATGAAGATGCCTGTACCCTGGAAGTTTCCGAAAGCCACTCTTCATGTCCCTCATTCAAATGAACTTGGATGCATTACTTTGCGGTTGGCCTGAGACTTTGCAATTTCAAATTTTGGCTGAAGCACAGGAGTGGGGGGAGTCAGTTGCTGATTCATCACATCCTACTGCATAGATTTTTCTCATCCCTGAAGAGACAAATTGACTCTGGTGTGACATATTGTGGCTTTTCACTCTTTCATTCATGCTTGGTTCAGATAAAGTCTTAATTAAATTTAAAATAGAAAAGTTGAGGTTTATAAACTTACAAAATGGTAGGTTTACAATCATTCCATTTTATGGAATAATTGCAGGTTCTTCATGGACAATACCTACATATTTCTATAATATCTTACATGTTTCACATAGGGGATTTTTTTTTATCTTAGCTCAAATTGGCATATTACCAGATATTCTAATCTCCTGTACAATAACCATATGTGTATTTACTCTGATTTAAAGTTTGAGTCATGTATAGTTTACATTGCCAATTGTACCACCCATGATGTTTGGCATTCATAAACATAATTTTCAGAAATTTTAGTTATATTTCTGATCTTACAATCGTCCTTCTGTGAGATTATAAAGGTTGCAAGTTTCTAGCAATAGCTATGGTTTGCAGAAGTCAGTATTTTTTTATTGTTTCAGGAATGATTTTTCTGTATTTTAAATATTATACCTGTGTTTTATTGGTACAGAAGGGGGAAGGGAAGAAGGAAGGAACTACATTTCCATAACGAGTTTCTGCTCACCATTATCAGTGCACATAATAACCAACAATGATTATAATTATAATACATTTCCATGCAGAGTTTCTGCTCACTGTTATCAGTGCACATAATAACCAACAATGATTATAACAACAATATTTATCATTGTAATGCAATAATATAATTATAACAATGATTATAATAGCAACAACAATAATAACCAACAATTCTTCCCTACAATAAAGAACTAATAAAATTCCAAAGGGAGGTAATTCTTCTTAAAGAAGGGATGAAGCATTTACTCCTCAGTGTATATGCTTCAAGTCTACGAAACCATCAGAAAAATCTCCCAGAATTTAGGAAGTTGTCTTTTACAGTGACATTATGTATACAGATATAAGGTCCATTTGTAACTTTTTACAATTACTTGCACTGAGTTGTGGCAGTTCTCTGATGTTTTGGATGGATCTCTTAGTTCCACTTCGGGTTGTTAGGGTTTGAATCTAGAAATTTTTGTATCAGATATGGCTCTTCTCACCCATATGAAATGTGTTTTGGGGACAATAGCAGATATTGCAATTGTTTTCTCCTTTTTCTGAGTGGTTTTTAAATGCAGCCCTATATAAAATGCATTGCAGTAGTCTAAGGGCACACTTTCCCCTTGCTTGTGAAGCAGAGCCATGAATCTAGAAGTAGTGTGAAATTGCAAATCTGTTTTGTAACCTAGAAGTCCCTGGATGTTTAGTTACTTCTTTTAAAAACCAACATTGTGCAACCCTGAATTCTGATGATTGGGAGGAAGGGTTATTTTTAATATGCACATTTTTTAATGTTCAAACTAATGATACCCCGTATCTATATACTTATAACTTAAGAAACAAGAATGCAACAGTCTCTTTCCAGATGCTTTCTAGGCATCAGATTTTCCACTGCAGATAGGTGATGCCTGTTTCTTTTACCTTCTTTTACAGAAATCGATGAGTGCAGATCTCAACCCTGTCTGAATGGGGGGTTGTGCAAAGATCAAATTGCCCATTACCTTTGCTTGTGTAAAACTGGCTATACAGGAAACAACTGTGAGTTGGGTAAGAGAACATGGAAATATCTTTGCTAGGAAATTGTTTATTAGTAAAGTACATTTCTCATTGGATCACAACTCTATTAATACTTTGGAACCTTTGATCTCAAAAGCTGGGCTACTACATATGGGGTGCCAAAGTCAAATGACCACTTGGAGATGACAAAGAGATTCAGAAAATCCCAACACTTTTCTACCATCTAGTGCACTTCCAATATTTGCAGCCCATATATGATAGCCATACCTGAAAGCTTTCTTAAAACATTGTCATTGGGCTATTTGGATGGCTATATAAATTGAATAAATAAATAAATATAAAAATTTGCATAAAGGTTCTTAAGCCATTTTTGTTGGTTTGTCTATCACATCGCACTGCAATCTGATGGCTCTTTGAAACAAAAAGTTAATCAAAACATCTACAGTACAATTCAAAGTAAACATTTTAAAATCTACATTTAAAATCATAATCCAATAAATCATCCACACAATCACAATAACAAAAAGAAAAAATGAATAGAATATGGTTCAAGACATACTGAACTGAAACACTCTCCCAAAAGTTCACATGTTCATTTCTGTCTAAAAATCATCAGGGAAGGAGCCAGTCTGATCTCTTATAGGAGACCATTCCTAAACCACTGAAAAGAAGCATTTCTTGGCTTTATTTCCTTGTCAACACCACCACTTCTAAATTATACTCAAAAACCAACCAACAATTGGTACAAGACTTGACAGTATTGGAGTTATATGTTCCCAACATTGGGTATGAGTCAACACAACAGGCCACTACATTCTGGTCCAATTGCAATTTCTGAGTGGTTTTTAAATGCAGCCCTATATAAAATGTGTTGCAGTAGTCTAAGGGCATACTTTCCCCTTGCTTGTGAAGCAGAGCCATGAGTCTAGAAGGATTGTGAAATTGCAAATCTGTTTTGTAACCTAGAAGTCCTTGGATGTAGAAAATATACTTGTTTGGCAACTGACCAATATTTTCAGTCATTATCTTACCAGATGTATCAAACTACAGAATTCCAAGCCACAGGTGCACAGGTAGCACAGTGATTAAAATGGAGTATTGCAGGCTAATTCTGCTGATTACTGACTGCCAGAAGTTTGCCAGTTTGAGTCTCACCGGCTGATTCAGCCTTCTGCCCTTCCGAAGTCGGTAACATGAGGACTCAAGATTGTTGGGGGGAAATATGCTGACTCTGTAAACCGCCTAGAGAGGGCTGTAAAGGACTATGAAATGATATATATAAATCTAAGTACTATTGCTATTGTACGATTTAGCTGTAAACCAATTCCTTCAGATTTGGATTCTTTTCAGATCTCTTGCCTGAATACCTGGAGGCTGGAGAGGGGCAGGAAGAAGTCTTCAGGCAAGGTCCTGTTACTTCTCCATATGTTCTGGAGAAGAGCTCTTCCTATGAAGAAAGAGTTCTAAGTAAATAAGGAAATCAAAAAGATCACATCCCAAAATGTCCACAGCAGATCAGATTAAAATGGAAAATTAAAGTGCATTCCATTTAAGTGCAGTTTTCACCAATCACAATGCACCTGACCTCCAGATGTTGGGGATAATCTTAATAACTAAATTTGTGGTGCGTGAAATATCCTAGTCTCAGAATAAGACTTTTATCAGTTGGATCACAATTTGGATAGTTGTTCTTTCCATTACCTGTTTGGGCGAAGAGCAAAACTGCCCATTATCCTTTTAGATGTGAAAATTCTGTTTTGACAGACATAAAGGCAAAACCCCCAGCCATTCATGCAATTGAGATAGAATTATCAGCCTTCTAAGAAGAATGAGAGGAATTAGTGCTGGGAGCACTGCAAATAATTTATTGAGGAATGGAGTGATGCAAGCTTGAAATAATGCCATTGTTTACAAGGGGAGGATTTCACAAAAAATGAAAGTAGCAGAATATTAACCAAACAAATAGAAAGTTATATTATAAAATGGTGGTCAGTACATTCCACAGTTCTTTTTCAAATTACAGAATAATCCCAGGACATTCCTTGACTATTGGATGTATTGTATTGCATTATATTTATATTTATTTCTTCATCAGGCTCTGTTAGCAAACTAAATAAACAAAAATAAAATCTGCCTCTTTTTTAATCAGTTCACTCCTTATAGAATTGTGGCTATTGTCTTTTACCTGCTGTGAGCAAGTACATCTATTTTTGCTTGAGTCAGTATAAAAGCAACAACATAAAATTAGCCGCTTCCTTTGTTGCATTTGTTTATTCCTGGGGTGGATAAGGTTGTCCTGTTAATCTGTTGCTGCTGTCCCTTTTCAGCACATCATCAGACAGTGAGGAAAATCATGAAAATCAGTTCTTTGAAGCACTGTACATTGAGTGGCAATTCAGAACAGCCTCTAACAAATCTAGTCTGATTTGTTTGATTTCTATCCCATGCCCCGTGAGAGAGCCACCTTTTTTTCTGGGATGCATATGTGTTTTCAAGTCAGTCTTGTTCTGATCACTACCTGAGCTATTGACTGCTTTCTGAGAGAGGGGGACTGGAACCAGAGACACACAGATGGTTTTGTGTCTGTTCCCTCCTGTACTCTGCAGCACCCACCACCTGTTCTTGCTCATCCACCTGTGTGCCCCTTACCACACTCCACTGCAGACACTCTCCTGCCTGGCTATGCTCCCGTCATGTCACAGTAGTCACCTGCATGCTCTCCCATACTCCGCAGCAGCCAACCTTTGCCGAGACACATTTGTGGTTCATAGCGGCAGCCATATCTTCACTGGGTTGCATTCTGTAACACTCAGCCATCCACTGGCCTGCTTGCAAGCTGCCCAAAACTTGCCACTTTGTGCCAGCTTCCACATTCACTTTGCTTGTTGGAAGCTAGCGGGAAGTCCTAATTTAACAACTTACAAACCTCACCTAACAATAGCAGCAGGGACTGTCAGGATTGCCATTGTTAAGCCACATGGTCACATGAAGTGTTTTACAACCACATTGCTTAGTGACAGAAATTCCAATCCCAATTATCTTAGCTAAGTGAGAACTACATACCGTTCTGTTTCAAGGTTGCTGATACCCACTCATATAGTATTCAAAGATTTCAGAGTCCAAGTTACGACTGTGGATTTTAAGAACCTGTAATCACAAAAAATATGGCTATTGTATCTTATATATCTTATGGTACAGATAAACTCCAGGATATTCTTAAAATAAATTAGCGGTAACATGTCCCTTCTTTCTGGAATGAAATTGTAAAGATCTGGTCCTCTCTCCTCTACTTTGATGGAAATATTGAGAGAAACTAGTGTCAAACGTAGCTGGAAGGTGAGAGACATGAAATGATGTCAAGAAGCACAGTCCTTATGGAGAAGAACAAATGCTAAGAGAAAAATGTCTATATGAAGACTAGCTATACCAGAAGGAGCGGATCTACTCGCAAATCCCAACACACTAAAACCAACCTCTGATTACACATTGAACATTGAATGGGAAAAACAATAATTGTATACTAGTACAGTTGACATCTACTTAAGGCTGTCTCATTCATTGATAAGGAATATGAAAAGAACAACATTTTGATACAAATATTGTCAAGGCATAGTTGTACTATAGCTACGGGCACACAAGGACAAGCCACATGAATGAGTCATTCTTCCAGTCATAAATGACACCTTGTGGTTTTGGTTTTTTTGGAGACTCCTAGGAATTCTGTTGTTACAATCATTGCAATTAAGTATGGCTGTAGTCACATTCCTTGGCATATAATTCTAAGAAATGTACATTATCCTAAAGCATATCCTCAGCTATACCAAAGGTATCTGCCTGAGTCACTTCCAAATGCTTTCTGTCTCTTCTGGGCTTTTTATCCTTCATTGTCTTGGCAAGGATCTTGCATATCTCTGTCGAGGCTACCTCCCTCCCTCACAACAGTGTAGTACTAATTATAATGCATCCTTTGTTGCATATGTTGATCTTCATTTTATTCTGCTGTCCCTTTGCTTGCACAAATAATTGTTAAATCTCATTAATTTTTGCTCTCGGTAGTTTTTAGTGACAATTCATTGCAGTTCTAAAATTTTGAGGAGCATGACTATCAAGGACGAAGGTTATTTTGCAACTTTGCAAAAGTAAAATAGTAAGATTTAATTGAAATGGTAAATAAGACAATAGCTTTGGACTTTATGAAAAATTATTCCACAGATGTTCAGTGATGCTGTTTTTCTAGCACATCATTACCGTTGGGTTGAATAACTCAATTAGTTTTTAATTTTTCTGTCACACCTGCAGAAATTAATGAATGTCAGTCTAGTCCATGCAAAAATGGTGGAGTCTGCAAAGACCAGCCAGGATCATTTATTTGTCATTGTTCTGAAGGCTTCGTTGGAACGCAGTGTGAAATGGGTAAATAATGAATGAATGAATGAATTCTAAGTTCTCAGAACTTCCAATATTACTTCTTACTAACAGTGGAAGATAAACATCTTTGTGCTGTTTGATCTGTCTCATAAATACGTTTTATTCAGCATAAATGTTAATTTAACTCTTACAGTAAAAATCATAGCTGTTTAAAGAAGTTATTCCTTCTGCATTGGAAGGCAGGGTGTTTGTAGGTTGAATAAGCTTTGTAGCTGGTTCTAGGTTGTATAAGCCATTGTAGGTTGTATAAACCTTGTTAGCTGGTCTGTGCACAGTATAAATTAGAACATATCACTGTTCTAATTCTTAGAAAATGCTGTTAAGAGATTTACAAGTTTTATACATTCTGATAGAGATTTTAGATGGCATGAGGTAGTCTCCTATTCATCTCATTGAGAATGAAGATAATCTGCAATGACTAGGCTATGTTGAGCCAGCTGTGATATATTCCTGTTATTTTTAGACTTTTTGTACATCTCCCCTGTCATGAGGCTATTCATTACAGATAGTTAGGTTGTCATTGCGGATAGTCACTTAAGTGATGTATTTCTTAATGAAATTGAACCGTCTGAAAAAGTTGCTAAAAACAAAACTGAAATTGCAGACACCTGGGCCCTATAAGTATTTTATCCTTAGGTTTTCTTAGAAATAACAGTGTTATTATCTGACATGATTTTCCTCCACCAATTTCTTACTTATTAAGGATAAAATATACAGTGCATTCAGAAAGTATCAGAACCTCTTCACTTTTGTCACTTTTGTTATGCTGCAGCCTGATTCTACAATTGTTGAAAATTTTCTCATTAATCTACACTCAGTACCCCATAATGACAAAGAGAAAACAGAATTTTAGAAATGTTTGTAAATGTATTAAAAAGAAAAAACTGAAAAATTACATTGGCATAAGTATTCAGACCCTTTGCAATAACATAATTCTCTTGTCTGATGAAACCAAGATTGAACTGTTCGGCCTCAATTCTTAACATGTCTGGAGGAAACCAGGTACCACTCATTACCTGCCCAATGCCATCCCAACACTGAAGCATGGTGCTGGCAGCATCATGCTGTGGGGGTGTTTTTCAGCAGCGGGGACTGGGAGACTGGTCAGGGTTGAGGGAAAGCTGACTGGAGTAAAGTACAGGGATATCCTCAATGAAAACATGTTCCACAGGTTAACTTTCCAATATGACAACGATCCTAAGCACACAGCCAAGGCAACACAGGAGTGGCTCCAGGAGAACTCTGTGAATGTCCTAGAGTGGCCCAGTCAGAGCCCTGACTACTTGAACCCTATTGAACATCTTGGGAGGGATCTGAAAATGACTGTCCACTGATGGTCATCCTCCAACCTGACTGAGCTTGAGAGGATTTGCAAGGATGAATGGCAGAAAACCCCCCAATCCAAGTGTACAAAGGTTGTTGTGTCATACCCGAAAAGACTCCTGGCTGTAATTGTTACCAAAGATGCTTCAACGAAGTACTGAGTAAAACGTCTGAATAATCATGCCAATGTGGTATTTCAGTTTTTTTTCTTTTCAATAAATTTACAGACATTTCTAAAATTCTGTTTCACTTTGTCATTATGGGGTACTGAATGTAGATTACATTAGAGCGGACATCTTTGTAAAGGGCTATCCACCAGAAGCAGAGTCATCTTCTTAATTCCATGTGACACCTCCTACAGATATCTGAGTGAGTGTATTTATGCTCCCCAGAAGTGGATGCCTGTAAATCAAATCCATGTCGGAATCGAGGAAGTTGTGAAAGTCACAGTGGCTTTTACCTGTGTGTCTGTCCAGAGGGATTCTTTGGCTATCACTGTGAGTCAGGTAAGGTAACATGAAATGCAAGGGCATTTAGCAAATCAAAGGTACTTACTAACTTTCCAAGACAGTAAAAGGAATAGATATACACATTTTAATGAAGTTCAGTCTTCCTTTACAAACATTTTCACTTTCATCTGTATAAACTGTGGTTCTCAATGAATTGCTGTGTCCTTCTGTCCTAGTTAGTGATCCCTGTTTCTTCAATCCATGTGGAAATAGAGGCTACTGTCTACCAACTAATGAATCCCACATCTGCACCTGCAAAGTGGGCTACACTGGCAGGAATTGTGAAAAAGGTAATCAAACTAAAAAGCTGAATCTACATTAGTCATTCTCATTCTAGAAAATAGTAATTGTATAGATTGAATACATTTTCCTCCTCATTTTTTCTTCATTTGGGAAGAATGAAGAAAATTTCCTTCCTAATTTCATCTCAACAATTTCAATTGCTTGATGGAATTTCATTAGGAAAGGGTCACTGGTTTTAGAATAGATACTGTAATTGCAAAAACATCTCATTGATTCTTCTAAGGTAGATGAATTCCACTATTTGACTTTTGTTTCTCAGTTTTCCTTCCAGGTATATTGCAAAGTTGGGGAAGGAAATATGGGAAGGAAAACCTTTTCATGGGAGGGCACAGTGCTATTCAGAGAGGGAGGTGTTAAAAAGGTTAAGATAGTCACAACAGAACAAAGACCATCTCTTTATATATACATGTGATGCTGATGGACATACATATTGACTGGTACTTTGATTGCATTGCTACAACTGTGATGATTTACACACACACATGGAGGGAGGGATGGGGAGGGAGAGAGAGAGAGAGACTCCTAAGATGGCAGTAATTTGAAGCAGTCCGTCATAAAATATAACAAATGGATGTACTCAAACTTGGGTGCCTCCAATATAGCTACATATTCTGAAGTTGTCTGAAAGAAATTAGTCAGTGGAAAGCCAAACTACCTCATTTAAATGAGTTCTATTTTCTTCCTTCTTTTTGTTGGCACTGAAACCATGAAGAGCTGCTGCCACCAATGTCATTAAAGGTGGAAAAAGTGGAGGAGAATGCATTGTCAATCTCTTGGCGCCCGCCCAAGGACCAGGCTGCCAAGCATATGATTGATGGCTACGCCGTGACGTACGTATCCTTCGACGGCTCTTACCGCTGGACTGATTATGTGGACCGAAGTCGTGCTGCCCACCATTTGCGGGCACTAGCCTCCGGCAAAGCCTACAATATTTCTGTCTTTTCAGTCAAACGCAAATCGAATAACAAGAATGATATCAGCAGGCCCATCATGCTCGTCACTCGTACTAGTGAGTAGCTCCTTTAGAGGAATAGAGTTGTGGGTACAGAAATGCCTGGCTGCAGTAGCTAGAATGCCATGCAAGCAGTGCTCAAGGATCCTCAAAACATTTTGCAAGATCCTTAACATATATAACAGCCTTCCAGAACCTGGCTATTCTCCCTTAGAGTTCCATAATCTACAACTAGCATGAACAAAGCACACTTGCTTGGGGAAAGCTGTACTTTAAGAGTAGTGGGACACCATTCTTCAATTTGTAATAGAAGTTTCCTCTATACCAAGCTAGCATTATTACATTTAGACATGCTGTTTATCACAGGAATGTTTATCTATAACTAGTGGGAAATGAACCAAGTAGCACAGAAACAAAAGGAAAAATGCTGCATTAATCTTGTCTTGTTCTCCAAATATACATTACCTTATAACCACAGCCTGTAAAAGTCAAAGTTGCAGCAAATAACTTGCAGTGGCAGTTACAAAATTATAATCAGGCATCACCGCTCTCATTATATATATTTCTTCTATATGATGTAATCTTAGGCTGAATTAGTTCAGATTAATTGAATTTTCAGACTGTGCTTAAAATGCTCCCAACAAAGATTCAATTGGCTGCTGCTTGCTAGCTTGTGATATTTTGATTTCTTTAATTGTAATAAACAAAAAAACCATTAAAAGAACCTGAGTTATCATGCTTGATAATTTCCTAGTATCCTTTGGATATAGAAAGAAAGTTAATTTTGATTACTCCTCTTAAAGGTATGGAATGTGTGGACAAATTATTTACAAAGTTTGTATGTGCTTCACTGTTTCATACTTGTTGTTGACACTAGTATTTGGGATTAAAAAAAATTTCAAAGAAGAGTCTTGAAATAAATAGCCCTGAGAGTGGGAAGGGAATTCCAGATAATATTAAAGAGTAGAATTTAATAGAATAGTAGAGAATAATATGGTTTAAAGTGTTTTAATTGGATAGACAAAATTAATATGAGCAAAATGACTTTTAGTCTATTAAATGACCTATTAATCGAGAATGCGGATGACTTGATGAGAGGAGATGGGAGCAGCAGGCAAGTAGGCTTTCTGCTTAACTAAGATTAAATTAACCTATTCTAATTATTACCTGCTTTTAAGGCTATTTTTCTATCATATCTTAGTCTTCGAATTTTTATTTTTAAACCCTTTACATTTTTGAAATTTTTGCAGTGTGATCACTAATCCACTTTTAGTTATATTTCAGCTATGGTTTAGCTGTATTTTTAAAAAAGCCCGAGCTGGGCCTCAGCTATAGGAGGGCCTTGCTGCTGCTTCTTTGTTGTTGTTGTTCTAAAGATCTTACTCCTTTAGCTGGAAGTCTAGCAATGCCTAGCTTTGATGTGATTTCTCTTATATGATTTATTCTATTTTTATCCACTATTTTTACTATTTTATCATTTTTATTTATTCATGTTCCCTGCTCTGTTGTGAGGGCAGGATCCTTGGTGAGGATCCTTGTGAGGAGCTCTGCCATTGTTTGCATTAGGACTTGTTTCTTCTCGACTCCCGATTCCTTTTCCTCTGGATTTAGGACTTGTTTCAGTGACTAGACTCTATGCTATATTAGAATAGCTCCCCCTCTATTGTGCTACTTAATATAATGAAGACAAGGAAAAGGAGCAGATCTCTCACTGACCCGGTTCCTCAACCTTCTCTGAAGCAATCCAAGATTGAGGACTTTGTTTTAGCTCGGCCTCTTGGTTTGAAAGCTCCTGACCTATTAATCTGCAATTCTTCCCTTCTTCTGTCCTGGTTTTTAGCAATTCGGTACATCAGAATAAATTAAGTGTAATGGAAAGACAGCATATTCTACCCTTCTAAAGTAAGAGCACACATGAAGCAATACACTAAATATCCTAGGCAATGCTACTAAACTTGAGATTTTTTTAGTCTAGGAAAACAAAGGAAAGTATTTCTTCCTCAAGGATATGAATGATAAGTCCTGAAAAGAACTACCTAAAAGGATGAAAAGAACTACCTAAAAGGATGACTCATAATATTTCTTATTATTTTACAACGGTATCATTACTAATGTTCACAATTAAATAAGACTTTTGATTCAATCTCTTCTTCTAAGTATTAGGTGCTACCTGCAGTCTGGTGTAGACCTTAATACTGAGCACATGTGACACTTAATAAATGCCTGCAGTACCATGCATATATTTCTTAAACTGTTGAAGGAGCTGGGAACTTAAGAGAAGACAAATGCCATTCTGCAGTATTATCTTCTCTAAAAATTTCAGACAGCTCTGTTGGAATTGGACTGAGCTCTAATAACACTTAATGTGGACAAACTTTATTTGCATTGTTCTCATACTAACATACTAGCTTGTATCAATCTCACTAACTTGTATCAACGTTCTTAAAACATTTTATGGGCAAAGGCTTTTTCAAGTTTTAACTGTGCTGCTTTATAACCCTAATAGTACAGATATTTTTCTGATCTATTTTATGGCTGTTGCTATTTCAAAAAGCAGAATAAGAACCAGTTAGATTAATAGAATTGCTGTGTCAATGAAATATTTGGGGGACTGATTGTTTACGGGTAATGCAGCTAAAATTTGACTAGTTTTCTGTGGTATTGTGACTTGTGCTAGAATATGAATGCATAAGATATATAAAAGTTACATGCTGTTAGTACATTTGTTTCAGGGACTTCCCCAGTAATGTGAGTTACATAGCGCTAAATTAGCTCTGCAGAAAGTTGCTGAATAGATGGTACTGTTGTTAATGGATGTACATTTTCTATGCTGTTATGCTCATGACTGACTGGTGAGAATATCTGTCCCCCTCCAGAAGTTTGGAAATTATAATTATCAGAAAATCAGGAATACTAACCACAATGTAAAGTATCAGATTGGAAGAAGCAGAACTAGAGTTTGCTTTGTAAAAGAATAACCATGTGCATTCATGAAGTATCTTTATTAATGAAATTTATGTAGCCTCCCATTTCATGAGAAGTCACTCTGGGTAGTGTACAATAATTAAATAAAAAAGAATACAGGTGATAGGTGATCCTCAACTTACAACCATAACTGAGCCAAAATTTCCATTGCTAAGCAAGACAGTTGTTAAATGAGTTTTAAATGGGTCATTTTATGACCTTTCTTGCCACAGCTGTTAAGTGTATCACTTCCATTGTTAAGTTAGCAACCTGGTTGTTAAGTGAATCTGGCTTCTGATTTTTTGATCACGTGACCACAGAGATACTGCAAGAATTGTAAGCGTGGAAAACAATCATAAGTCACTTTTTTCAGTGCGGTTGTAATTTCAGATAGTCACACAAGGAATGTTTCAGAGGTGGTATTCAGCAGGTTCTGACCAGTTGTGGAGAACCGGTAGCAGAAATTTTAAGTAGTTTGGAGAACCAGCAAATACCACCTCTGACTGGCCCTACCCCCATCTATTATCTGCCTCCCAAGTCCCAGCTAATCGGCTGGGTCTTCTTTTGTTGCCCTGCACAGGAGAACGGAGCTGGAAATCAGGTTAGTGGGGTGGGGAGGGAATGGAGATTTTGCAGTAACCTTCCCCTGCCACGCCCACCGAGCCACACCCACAGAAACAGTAGTAAAGAAATTTGAATCCCACCACTGGAATGGTTGTAACTTGAGAATTATTGGTACATATATAAAAGCATTTTTTTTAAAGTTCAAAAATCAACATTTAGAAATTAGAATTTAATTTTAAAAATAAAAAATTAACAAATTCCAGAGGCAGAGGAGGTTATCTTGTTGCTAGTCTCAAATACAAGCCACAAACTAAGATTTTCCTGGATATTGGTATAAATTGTGGCTGCATCCTTTCTATATGCCATTTACTTTACTTTTTTATAGGGTGTCTCATGGCTTCACTCTTTCCCCATTCTTTTTTAAGATCTATGCCAGGGGTGTCAAACTCAAGGTCCGGGGACTGGATCCGGCCCACGGAGTGCTTAGAGCTGGCCTGCGGGGCCTCACTGGAAACAGCAAAGGACTGGCCCATAATGGTTTTGCCAGTGAAAACAGAATTATGGAGGGCTGCGTGCAGCCATCCTGAGCTCCGTTTTAGCTGGTAGAGGGTTGCAGGAAGCCATCACAGCCAAAACAGAACTGGGGAGCCCATTTTCACTGGCAGAGCACTCAGGCTGCCACAGGCGCCCCAACAGAAGTGACATGGAGCTGGCCATGCCCACCCCAGCCCCCCAAGGTAAAAAACAACCCTGATGCGGCCCTCAATGAAATTGAGTTTGACATCCCTGATCTACGTGAAGCTGCTGGGTCAGATCATCTGTTGACACAGGGAATGGTATCAGTATGCTAGTGATACTTAAATGTACATCTATGCTTTGACTTTATCAGGTGATGCATTCAGGTTCTTTCCCATTGCCTGGAGGATTTGGGATTTTGAATGGGGGAGATAGGCAATGATATAAATCAAATAAATAAATACTTGATAATTAAGAGTGTCAGAACCTCTTGAGGGAGACCCTTTACTATAGAATAAAATGCTTTTCTTTCAGTACAGTTGCAAGACGCCATGTAGTTTACTGCCAAAGGAGGTAGAGGGAGGGCGCATTCTATTGTAGAAATCCTGTCAAAGTCCCAGAGCAACATTTGTCTTAGTAGAAAACAAGAAAAAGGTTTCTTGAGGAAGATCAAGTGGGTGTGTTGTCCATTGTAGTGAGTTGTAACAATCTCTTGCACTTCCCTTCTCTCATCCTCACAGGACCCCACCCAGTAGAAGGATTTGAAATAGCCAATGTGACTTCCACAGCCATTACTGTGCAATGGGCTCTTCATAAAGTCAAACATGCCACAGTCAGCAAGGTGCGCCTGTCCATACGGCAGCCAGACGATGCAGAGGATCATGCTGTAGAATTAAACAATACTGTGACCAAATACACATTTTGGTGAGCAAGAAGCAAAAGATATAATGGAATAGAAGAAGGGAGGTAGTGGTGAATAAATAAAAGTAGTCCAGAGAGTTTTTTTGTAACTTAGCTAAACAGCTGGCTTGATAGAGCACCAAAGATTAGGCCAGGGTAAACAATTTAATAAGCAAAGCACTCATATAGATCCACTCCTCAAAGCCTCAGAATAGCCACTGGAAAGTTGGCACAGCTACTTCAAAGGCCTTCTGAGTTTATTGGAGCACTACCAGATTATTTCCATAGGCCTAGTCGAGATTAGAGATTAAGCAATTGTATTTCTTGCTTAGCTGTTTTTTTATGAAGCTTGGGAACCTCAGTATACAAACACTTCATCAAGAAATTAGCTCTAAAATTAGCTCTTGAATCCATAATAAAGATGGGAAAGGGAAGACAAATCAACAAGACCAAGTGGCAAAAAGAAAGGAGAAATTTATCCTATCTGAATCCACCTTTATTTCCATTAAATTAAATATGAAAACTTCTCAAATTAAAAAGACAATTGAAGCATTTTGTGACAGAAAATTGAAACTGGCATTGGTTCAAGTATTTATCTTATATTGAAAAGCTGTGTGCATACATCTGACTGAGTAGTTTATCTAAATTTCTGACTCATCAGTGGTCAATAAGGAACTGTGTTTTTTTTCTATCACTAACCCTAACTCTCTGGTTAAGATTTATTCATCATATCTAATCTTCCATAAGGGACCTGCAACCAGGACAGAAGTATCTTATCCACATGTGGACCTTGAGTGGCCTTAGTAATGAAGATAATCCCACAGAGAGCTTTGCTACATCTCCTTTTTATGTCTGGACCCGTGAGTTTTATTGAACATTTTCTGCTTGCTTTTTGCTTTGTCATTTTGTAGTTCATAAACCAATTAAAACAACAGAGCAAAACAGTGATATAAGTGTAGCCCCCTAGCTGATACCATAGGAGAGCATCTGACCAAACTTTGCACAGTTTATGATTTGAATGATCATTTATTTATAAAGCAGGAAAGATATATTTTTTGAACTCTAGTACATTTCTTTTCCTTGCCCTCACATATAAAAAAATGAACAAACTTTTATCCTGTACTGCTTCTGCTCTTCATGGTCACACATAATTGTACAGAGAGAAAGCTGCCATTTAATAGCTGGCATTATCTTCAAAATACTGCTAAAGAGGAAATAACCCCTAACAAGCAGTTAAAGCCACAATTTGAAAATCATTAAACTCTGTTCTTCATGCAACTTCCTCCAAAATAAGACTCTGGAAAGTAAAGGAGGGAATGACCTACCTTGCTTGTCAATGGTATACAGCTGGAATGAACCCTTACCATTCATTGTGCATGATTTCTTGCTTAATTATACATTATATCATTAGTTTGGTTGATGCAGAAGGGTGGCTCAAATATGAATTAAGTCCATAATTTCATCTGGAATGAGTTAAACATCCACCTCTAGTTTAAACTACTTTGAACATTGTTCCTCTTCTATACTTCTTGCTATGAAGACCAGCAACCAAATATATGCAATTCTTTCATAGTACACATGGGATGCCTTCTTTCCTATGAGTGGAACAAGGTTGAGGGAGGAGAGAGAATACGAATGTAAAAGAGGGCACAAAGGTAATGCAATCCTAGGAGCCAGATAACTAGTGAATTTCCAGGAGCTGCTTGCTCATTTAAGAAAGCAGAGAAGTGAGTCTAGTACTAATGTTGAAAGTTCCCCCGTTTTCATAACTATTTATTTGATAGGCAGCTAAAAAGAATTCCCATCACATGTCCTTCTTCTCTCTGAACAGGACCTCTGTCTCCTAGAAACCTCACTGCATCCAGAGTTGCAGCCACCTCTGTCCAGATGACTTGGGAACAACCTCTTGTGGGCTCAGTGGAAGGTTACATCATCAATGTCAGCACCAGCCAGAGTGTAAAGAGCCGCTATGTCCCCAATGGAAAGTTGTTTTCCTACACAGTGCGTGACCTGAACCCAGGTCAAAGGTATCGCTTATCTGTGATGGCTGCTCAAAATACTGATCAAGGACAAGTGATGAGTGAGCCTGCCCATCTTTACATTACAGCCTGTAAGTGTAGATCACACATTATTCTCCGTACTGCTGTTGTTTACCTTCCTCACTGAGGATATCTGTCTGTATCCTTCATGCACTCAATGACCAGCTATTTCTATTTCTATTCTCTGTGATAAAAGCAAGATTTTTTTAAGCAAAACCTAAGAATCAGTGTTTGCATCCTGTTTTCCTTAGATGTGCAAATGAAAGGCTTAGACGTCTTGCTTGCCCTTTTGATTTAAAGTCACATCATGCTGCTACCAAGGAAACAAAAATAGTTGTTGGAAATCAATTATTGAGTATCTTATTATTATTATTATTTTAAATAAATAAATAAATAATTGGGAAGGGAATAGAATAAATCTGGTTGTGACTGCATCCTCAAGGAAAGTTAACATATCTATCCAAGATTGTTTTTATGGTGAGGAATGTCTCCCTTGCTGAATCTGTTCTCTTCTGGGAAGATTTTTATTGGGTAAAACGGCCTAAAAGGAAAGGCTTAATTCTACCATCTGCACATCCTAATTACAGTAACATTCACCAGCATACTTTGAATTTTTTCCCCCTAAGATTGTGGCGTAGGCTAAAAAGGAGACAGGCCTCGAGGTAGCCAGATTTTTACATTCCATTCATCCAGTTTTGTTATCGTGTCTTATATTTAGTGCAGAAAGATGGCACCTCTGAAAGACGCTGGAGCCAAACTGGGCATCCCCGGTTGTTGAGAAACAAAGTGCCCCTAGCTTTCCTACCAGAATTTCATGTGCTTGCTGAGCACTCTGTCCCCGAGGAACCCTCACTTACACCCAGGTAAAGAATGAAACTAGATTACAATAAATTAAACTAGAATAAAATAACCATAAGTGCATGGGGTGCTAAGTTGTTGCACATCATTTCAGCTTTGCAAATGGGAATGTCTCAATGTTTTCTGTTTTTTAAAAGATTTACAGAACTAGTGGATGGCAGAGGAAGGATCACTACTAAAATCAGCAACTCTCCAAGTCGATCTGTTTCTGTGAAAACACGTATGTACTGTTCACCCTCCCTTCTTGGCTTTCTGTTCTGTCACACAGCACAAACTTTCTGGTTAAATATATATTCTTGCCTGCTTTTTCTAGAACCAGAAGCTCTCGTGAAAGTGGAAGAAAATGTGGAGGAATCAACTAGCCGGGCTAAACTAGCAGCGCAGCTGTCAGAACCTGAGAGTACCAAGAGAGAAAGTATGTTTGAAGAAAGGAGATAGAGATGGTCCAAGATTACCCCCTTGCCTCTCCAACCTTAAGTAATGTTTGATTTGTACTGGATTATCAAGAATCTTAAAAATAGCCAGAATATTACACCCTTCCCTTTGCATTACCAGGTGAGAGGCAGAATTGTTCCATAAACTTCTGCAAAAATGGTGGGACCTGTGTTGCTGGCTTAGTGTCCTACAATTGTGACTGTATTCCAGGATTCAAAGGCAGATTATGTGAACTAGGTGAGTTAAGAGAAAAGTGTATTTTTCTGAACAATTTTGCCGCATGTTACTAAGAAGGAGCAAAAGAAAGAAAACAGAGGGTAATAGGAAACTGCCTGAATATGCAAGTGTTGCTCCTCTTTTTAAAAGGGATGAAAAACTTACATACAGAATTAGAAATGGTGTTTAACAGTGCAGGATAAAAATTGCATAGAAATTTATCCATAGGCTGGAAGGAGAAGTTGAGTTAAAAATCTGCATTGGGAAATAGAGGAAGAAATTGATTTATGGACTGTAGGAAATATATGCTACAGTACTGACAAAACTTTTTCTGACCCAAAGAAGACATATGCCCATGCCTTTGTCGTAATTGTAATGTTCATCAGACTTTGGGAACTGATATATCCATTAATATAGGCCATTAACCCACGCAAAGTATTGTTCGCACATCAGTCTGTTATACGTCTATGTTTTTTTCCCATGAACTAAAAAAAAAATACATTTCTGGAAGAGGAAGTAAGATTTGTGTACATATAGATTCTACATATGGAATCTAATTGTAATATGATTGCTACAAATGCATAAAAGAAAAACTTATGAATAATTATGAAATAATGAAATGAAATTATGCCACCAAGAACAGTCCAGAAGAAGGGGTTTGTATTTAAACTCTGATAAACATGAAACATCTAACCTTAGAGTAAGTCACAGTGAATTAAGGAGGACACTGAAGGTGATCCAGTCTGCTATAAATTCAAATTACTCTTATTTTTACAAAATATAGGTGTCCATCTTTTTAATGGAAAAAAGAGACTACAGACATGGCTACTGGACTGTTTTACATAATTAAGTACTGTAAACAGATATATGGATAGAAATTGAGCAAAGATTGAATTGCTGCAAGCTTGCTTTATGGAATGGAATTATTTCAATGTTGCTATTAGGAAATAGGAAATATGTCTGCATAGCACAATTTGTAATTATGTATCTGTGGACAGAACTGTAACTGGGAGGGAAGGTTGAAGTTTTCATGGCTGTTTTGTCTAGCATAATTATGATACTGAACTTTATTAAAAAATGCTAACCTTATAAGAGCCAGTTTAGTGCAGTGATTGAGGCATCAGGCTATAAAGCAGGAGACTTTTGGTGTCCTTGGGCCAGACATATTCTCTCAGCCCTAGGAAAGAGGAAATGGCAAACCGCATCTGAAAAACGTTGCCAAAAAAACTGCAGGGACTTATCCAAGCAGTTTTTTGAGAACCAGACATGATTGAGCAGAAGAAAAAAGAATTAAAATAAAAATAAGGGTGTAAAAAGCACCAGATTTTTTCTTTTGAGAAGATGATATTCACATGCTTTACAAATGCTCTTCTTGCCTTACAAGGTGATCCTATACAACCCTCCTTGGTACAGCATCATTTATTATCTGAGAGCAAACTGCAGTAACATACAATCAAGTTGTATCATGTACTTCTGTTATTGGTGCATTTCCTTTTTCCTCTTCAAATCTCTCTTTCAAGATATATTCCACCCACACCCACACATAAGAACAGTTTAATTTAATTCCTTGGCACTGCTCTGAATAATTTGTCTGATTTGCACAAAGAAAATTAGGTCAAATATGTATTTCTATTTATTGAAATGTTCTCAGTACATATTTTTCCCCTCCAGCTTGTAAAAAAGTGCCTCAGACTTGTACTCGGCTGTACTCTGAAACAAAATCTTTTCCAGTCTGGGAAGAGGGTGTCTGCCATTATCTGTAAGTATTGTCTTGACCACCTTTTTTTCTTCACATATCAAACTTCAGATTTCAGCTTGCTATTCCTGATGCTGTCTGCTTTTTATTCCAACCTGCCTGCTCACTTTTTTTCATAGGAGGCCCAGAGAGAAAAGGGTGGGTGGAGAGAGATGTCTTTTACACTGAATTAAGGCTAGTTTTGATTTATACTACAAATACCATTTTTCTGCCTAAAAATAGCAAGATAGTATCTACTTTCACCGGTTGCATCATCAAAAATTGGCAATATGATTTTGGGGAGACTGCTGGTTGCTTGATTCTGCTGAGACTTTGGGGAAAATGTGAGTAATGTCTTTTTGACAGTGGCCTGGAGTTCTATTAGGGCACTGGGGGATTGTTACTCTTGCCCAGTAAAAAAATAAATAAAAAATAAGGGATTTAAGCTCTGGGATTTCATTTCCAACCCACGCTATACCTCTTTATGGTCAAATTTTCCATCATTCATTCTTTGATATATGCTTGTTTTCTTATCAGATACAGGAGAGTCTACAAAGTGCATCAGGACATTTGTTATAAAGAGAGTTGTGAGAGTACTGTAACAAATAAGGCACTCAGCAGGTAAAACAAATGTAGTTTTTATTTGGGGGAGAAATCCTAAGGATGCCTAACCTCCCATTTCTCATAGCACCAATTATAATTTTTAATAATATGGTGAACACCATACAACCTGAATGTTAATTTAGGAGGGATTTCAGCCAATTTGGATTTTGTAAGCCAGTTTGGTTAACCTTGGGCCAATCACTCTTTCTCAGCTCTAGAAAGAGGTAATGACAAACCATTTCTGAAAAATCTTGTCAAGAAAGCCACGGGGACTGCTTGTCCAAACAGTCTCTAAGAATTACTTATGAAAGATCCTGAATATCATAATATTTTATTTGTTTTTTTCTTTGCCCCTTCTTTTGCCTAACACACTATTGGAATTAAGTAGCATCAGAAGAAATACTTAGAAATAAGTGTTACGTTACTGTGTAAGATAAATAGTCATATATTAAAATTTCTTATTTCAGAAAACAAATCAACAGGCATTGAAACCCACAGTAAGTATCTTTATTGGGCAGTGGATGGGAACGATGGTTCCATTAACTGATATATTAGATAAATCAAGGAATTTAGACACTTGATAAATCAGAGTTCCTTGAACAAGAAGTGTCCGGACTCATTTTATAATTCCACGTAGCTTAAACCATTGGTAAAGCATCATTGACAAGCAAATATTTACATCTCCTTTTTGAGGAACCTCTAAGATATTGATAGCCTGCCAAACATTAGAAGGAAACTAGCTATATTGACTGAATGCCACAAAATATTTTTTAAATGCAATGGAATTAGCAAGGCATGCTAATAATGACTTTATTATTTCAAAAAGTCAGGCATCATAAGAAAATTCATGAAAACATTCATTTATTTTTATGTAACATTTATATATATATATTATGCATTGCGTTTATATTTGCATGTATTACAGTGCTAAGCAAAGCTAAACAAAGCAATGCTTCATAACATACTATATAGGGATGTGTCTTTTCAAACCATTAGAGCAACCAGATTATTCATGCAGTTACTCTGGAAGATGTTTCTAGCTGCATGCATGTACCTATGCAGACAACTAGGAACAGTCCACAAAGTAGCCATGTGAGTCTTGCAAAGGATCCATCAGTTTTAACTGTTTGAAGATAGGTGCTTTGTACATTTTCTCATACATTGCAAAGTACCTTTTTCCAGGTTAATTCAGCCACAGTATGACTCATCTTTTTAATATATTGTATTGCAACTTTTATTTCTGCCTCTCTATAGTGGTTATTTGATAATGGCTGATGGAAAACAGTCTCTCATTTTAAGGTTGTGTCTTAATCCTTAAATGGAAGAGGAAGATTCCCTCCATTAAGTCTTCTACTGATAAGTGCCAGAGTTGTTGTATCAACAGAATTCCTCACCGTGATCCTACTTGCTTTTGGACTACCAAGGAACTGCTCTCAAGGAATGCTGAATAACAGTGATCTGCTACAGATTTTAATTGCAATGTGAATAGAGAACAAATCCATTTATTAATTTACAATCAAAATACAAATATTTGGCATGAAATGGAGAATTATTACATCAGTACCTGCAATACTGAACTATCTAGATTATCTTCGGCTCCACCTCATCCCAAGGATACAATAGCTTCATCATGTCAACTGATTTTTGTTTAAAGGGGGAGGGGGGAAACAGTTGGAACAAAAGACTTTCCATCTTTTTTGTTCAAGAGATGTTCACTATAAAGCCCCTTGTCTTCAGCAAGATTATAATATCTCACTTTCATTTCCAGCTTCTTTCCATCATAGGATCTAATTCCATTATATAAATTGAGTAAAAGTTCTTTTGCAAGCTTCCTGCATAACAGTACTCAAGTTTAATAGTATTTGAGATTTGGACATATAATCTGATTTATGGACTTCCTTAAACCTGAGTCCTGGAAAAAAAAGTGTTCTCTTTATAACCTAAAAACAAATCTTATTGCCTCAGAAATTGATCCTCAATACTTAAAACCATATAATGTTCCTTGGCAAAATTAAGGTAAAGAAAAATTATCCATTTTTTTCAGCCAACTCTCTCAATTCATTACTATTGCTAACAAATTATTAGCACTTCAGAAGTTAGAATAAGAAAAAAATTGGCAGTAGCAGCAATAGAGGACTGTCTTTTAGAAAAACCAAAAGAGTTTTAGTTGTTCAGCCTCCAGATGCTGTTAATGAAGGTTTCTATGCTTTCATAAAGAATTTTACCAAAAATCTTAATGTTTAATACGTAAAGTATTTCCTTTGATATTCTTAAAAGACAAAATTCTGATGCCGATGATGGAAAAAGGCTTCCATCCATCTTCAGTGGTGTTTATTTTGCAAAATACGATGACTAGCCTTCAAAAAGCCTATTACCTAGCCTTTGTGAGTCGTATGACTAGTTAAAACGATAAGGTTGTGTTAATAGACATATATCGTATTTTATAAAGCAATACAACCAGAAAGTCATAGTTTTAAATTACTATTCTGGCAGGTATTGGATTATTGCAGAAAAGGCATACCCACTGCCTGCAACATAATTCATGGCATATTTTAAGAGCTGTAAATATTGTTTATTTAGCATAGAGGAGCATATTGAAAAGGGGATATTTTTCTAATTTGAAAGACAATAGTCCTTGCTATTGGCAGAAATAGCACAAAGTGGTTCCAAAGTTCCTTCATTCTTTTAATATTTTAACTAATTTTTACTTGTTTTATAACTTTTAAGGTGCCCAGAGTCACCATGTAGGGGAGATGGGTGGTATAAGAAATTAATTAATAAATAAAAATTTTAAAATCCTAGAAGTCATCAATAGATGCTTAGCCACATTCCAACATAAGTTATTTATGTGTGCTGTGAATGATACTATCCATTTGTGATTATTTTCCCTGATGGGGGATGGCACAACACTAAAGGGCCACAGATTGTATTAAAAATGTAGAATTACAATTTTTAAAAACCCTGCTACAGTCAATATAGCCAGCAGAAATACCTGCACATTCATTTACATTACCTGGTTGAATTGGTGTATTGTTCCCTCTACTTCTGATGTTTAGATGTCTGCACAGGGCACTGTGCCCTACAGTAACACAACCTGCACACAAGAGAACCAGCACCAGGCTTAAGAGAATTACTGTGTAAAAACTTAAGATTGTGACAGAATCTGAAAAAAAATAAATGAAATGAAAACTGAACATGGTCAGCAGAAAATGTGTGTTGGGAAGACTACATGAAGAGGAAGAAGGAAGTGAAATCCTTGGTATTTTGAACAACCACATCAGCACTGCAATTACACTACATAATTAGGCTTATCAGAACCATCTCATCTTTTAACTAGAATATTAAAGTTTGCAAGAATAAAGAGAAGGAAGAAGGGATAGCGCCAAAATATTACATTTTTCAAAATCCAAAGTTAAGTTTTAAAATAGTATCTGCAGAAGACAAAGAGCATGAAAGATCTTTATTGCTTGTTCCTTGTTTGTCAGACTGTTTTCCCCAGAGACTGTCTTAAGGCAGAAGAGGACCATTATCAATCCAGTACTCTGTAGTCAGATCAAGGCATATGTAATGCACCAATAAACTAAAAAAGGTTTATTTTATTAAAGTTACCTTGTTTTTTTTCCATTTTAGACTAAATATATAATTTATTTCAAAGTCATTCTGCTTTTTTTTTTAAGAATAAAAGGATTACTGGAGTTAGCTATAAACATTGCATTTAAAAAAACATTTATTTTCAAATAAGGCTACCATTTAGAAACTTTATTTAAAGTCATATTTATGAATTGATGTTTGAGTTTGATTTCCCAACCTGCCTTCCATTTTTTAATAACTCATTTAAAAATATTCACAAGTATTAGATTTCTCTATTATCAGAAGTACCCATCTCCCTCCTTCCTATCTTAAAAAGGCAAGAAATACTACTACTACCAAATAGCAAAAACTTTTAATTGGAAATTTATTCAGAACCACTTCCATCATCATTCTCTGAATCTGAGAATTCTTCCATTGCTTCCTCCTGTTGCCTCCTCTGCTCCTCTTCATCAGCCAGCAACTTCTTAAAGACCTCATATTCTTCAATTGAGGAGCAGGCTATTTCAGTCACAAAATCCTGTTCAGAAGCTCTGATAATACTTTTCAGTTTGGGATTGACAATTTGGGTCTGTCTTTTCTTATCAGGAGTTTGATAGCGTCCCAAGCGCTCCAAAAAATTTATTCGTTTGTTTATTTCAGCCAGCGATGCTTGGAAGAAACCAGACTGCACTATCTCTCCATGTTTAATTCCCATCCTGAAATAGGCAAACTAAAAAACAGAGATTAAGTGAAAGAATGAACACTATAGCATTCTACTACAAAGAATGTAACTCAAGACACAGTTCAACACAGAAATATACTAAATTGTGTCTGTTAGTTTCAAGAAGGTTATGCTCTTAATATAAATGGGCACAACTTGCAGCCTGCAAGAAAAAACTATCTTTATTCAGGCTGTGTACAAGAAAATTAGCTTTTATTACTTTATTACTTTTATTTTAAATCTGAGAATCAACTGGGATGTGAAAGAATTGAAACAAAGACTGAGACTGAGGTTAAAATTCAAGCATTATAAATTATAATTATGATAGCAGGTACTAATGGCGCTTGAATTCCAAATAACCACTCCATATTGTGGTAGGTTATGGGTGAAAGATTGGGGGAGAGGGGGCAACTGTTTTTTAATTGCTAAGTTCTTTTTGCTGCATATTTCTACAAATAGTAGAAATAAGTATTATTCCTTAGTATTTTCTGTATTTTGTCTCATATTTTACAGGAAAATTAAGCAGATAACTAGCTTACTGACACCCAGGGCATTTGAGTGTTTACATTCTAAAGATGAAAAGGGATTTGGCAATTTTAATTTTTTAAAAATGGCTATGGAAATAAAAATGTAGACAGAGTAAACATCCAGAAAAAAGAGGTTTATGATAAAACTTCACAAAATTAGTAAATCATAGATTGGAAGCAGTTGTGAGAACTCACAGGTCCCAAGCCCTTTCTCAGTAGAGCTTATGCTAAAGCATTTTAGGAAGATGGTAATCAAGTCTCTATTTGAAGATCTCCAATAGGAAGAAAAGTGCCACTTCATGAGCAACTAGTTTCACAAGTATAAAGTCTGACCAAGGCAGACTGGAGTGGGACAATTACTTCCTGTGACCTGGACTTTATGAGTCATGTACCATTTTCCACAATTGTCAGGACAAAAAAAGGCATAGCAATGGAAGGTTCCAATTTTTTAAAATGACAAGAAGCAAAATACAGTTAAAGATCGGTGAAATCAAAACATCAGGATGTAAGCTTTCCTGAAGTAAGATATGAGGCCAAAGTCTTCATCATTATATCTTCAAAAGCAAGAAAAATCATATGGTAGATTCAATATAGACAGATATTTCTCAGGATCCATATAATAGATTTTAATAAGCAAAAAAAAGTGCATAGGAACAAATTTTTCTAACAATTATATTGTTAGAGGCAATATTTGAAGGAGTGATAAATGCAACAGTTAAAGTCACATTCTGAGAATAGGAATATATGAAATCTCCTAAAGCATATTTTTATTTTTTGAATTGCTCAAGTTCAGCAATGGAACAGTGTACCACCATGTGCAATCTGACATCAGGAAAGTTATTTTGAAAATACCTGGAATTTGTATTCAACATCATTTAACTCTTCTAAAAGGAGTTGTGGACTTGTTCGTAGAATTTTTGATACTTGTGCCATTGTAAAGAGACATTTTTCTTTAAGGAGATTCTCTAGGGATTTTATTCTCTTGTGTGGCAGTGTAAATATACTTGGAAAATTTACTGCCACCTGGTTAATGCTTCCTGTTAAAATAAGAGGAAAGAGATAAGATAGCACTGACTAAAATCGTCTTTGTCTTTAGACAGACACATGTATCCCTAACAATATTAAGAGCAAACTAGTATATTTTTAAGATATAATTTTTCCTAAGTGTTTCACATAATGTCTAAACGTGTTCTCTCTAAATAATGCATTTGGAATATTTGTGAGTCTACATTACTACATTATCCCACTTTTGTATTTAATTTACTGCTCTTCAGTGCAAAAATAGCAATAGCATTTAGACTTATATACATACCTCTTCATAGTGCTTTACAACCCTCTCTAACAGTCTACAGAGTCAGCATATTGCCCCCAACAATCTGGGTCCTCATTTTATCGATCTCAGAAGGATGGAAGACTGACTCAACCTTTGGCAGGTCAGGATAGAACTGCTGGCAATTGGCAGAATTAGCCTGCAATACTGCATTCTAACCATTGTGCCACCATGGCTATTTCAACATAAAATGTTTCCACATTGACCATTGCTTGCAATTCCTTAGTGGTGTACAGAGTATAAATGTTTTGTGTGTGTGTGTGTTTGTGCATGTGAATGTATGTAAAAATAGGAAAACAGATGTTTAATTATAACAGAAGCTTAAAGCACTTGTTCAGCCCAACTCTAGGATCTTCCCCCAGAAGTGTGTGTGTGTGCGCGCGTGTGTGTGTGTGTGCGTGCGTGCGTGTGTACATATATGGCAAAACAATCCCATTTTGTCGAATGACAGCACTGCTCTAAGACCCTTCAATCCTCGAAGATGCCCACGAAACCCCCAAATATTTATTCTGGCAGCAAAAAAGGTTATGCTGAAATGAACGATGGTGGGGAAAATATTCTAATATTCTCTTTTGGCAAGCAATTGGCACCTATATATAAGAAACATAGTGTGGATTAAGGAATTGATCCAGAAACATATGCATGATTAACTGAACATGAACACTTCCTTAAATATAAAGGACAGAAAAACTAAATGTATTGTGAACAGAATCTAAACAAATTGGAACTAAATAATCCACTCAATTCAGTGTATAAATTCAGCAACTGCAAAATTCAGGAGGAGCATTACCTGCATCTAAATCAAATCTTCTCAGAAGATCCGCACGTTCCTTCAAATGTTTGGGTGACATTCCCAGCAGTTCAGGCTTCTTTTCTAGGGTCTTTAGTATTGTGGTAATGCTTAAACCCAATAGGAGTAATTCTGAAATTGCAGTCAATTTTGATTGAAATGGTACATCCAGCTGCAAGCTAAATAGCTGTGTTATCTGAGCAGGACTGAATCCCAAATTAACATAAGCACTTCTGTCCTCTTCTAGCTCCAAATGGTCCACATTTGTTGCTTTTACTTCTTCTACTGGTGAATTAATTAAAGTTTCTTGGGGCTTTGGAGAGCACTCATAGTTTGACCTATAAGGGGGGAAACCTTTTTTGCTCTGTACAAAAGACCTGGTAGTAATCAATCTGCAATCCAGGTGTTGATGAGACCACCAAAAGGCAACTGGTAATACACTGAGAGAAGGTAAATGGATAGAGTCATAGGCAAGGGGGGGGAAGCTGTATTTCTCAAAAATCTGCAAAAATAGATTTAAAAAAGCAAATATATTTGTATTTTAAAGGAAAGAGCAAGTATAGTTGCCAGCAGATCAAAGGCGCTTGGCAAAACTAAACTAAAACAGTATCACACCATAATTTATCAAATATTAAAGCTATCATAACTTGCCTCCCAATTTACCTTATTTGAGGTATTGAATTACAGTATCCGTGTATTTCACACAATTAAGATGAACTTGTCACGACAGAAACATTTAATTGTTCAAAAAGTGTTACAGTTTATATTGAATATAACTACTTTTAAGCCTCATTCAAATCACAAAGGCCACATTAAATATTGTATTTTTAGAAAATGAGTAGCAAATATGTTCACAAATAATACGTACGAGAGAAATCTCTTGGTTTTGGTCAACACCAAAACAAAATGAAAAGTGTTCTACATAAACTATCAAACATCAGTACTCCATTTGGGGGGTATTTCAAAATTATGCTTAAAGAAAAATATTGTTCTGTTGGTAACACTTGAGAAGCAATTTTTTTCCAAATAATATTTCTGCAGCTTTTACAGAATATGCTGGTGGCCTAGTCTGTTCAAAAGATAAAATGTTCCATATTAATACTCATGAAGCATTAATTTAAAACCACATCAGACTGTTCTATAATGATCTCATTGCATACTTTCAAAATTGAAATGTAAATTACCTAGACTTTAAATTTGAACTATCTACAGTAAAAGTAGTGATTCACCCAAATGTGACCCCAAACTCAGGTTAAAAAATTAAGATTGCTATATTCAAATGACATATTGCATCCAAATAAAGAATTAAGTAATAATCTGATGTACACATTAAAAAAAAACTTCGTTATTCTACAGCATACCAAAACACAGTGGCTCCATTTTAGCCAAGTCTAGTATATTGTGTGCACATAACCAACCATGGCCAAAGAACATATGTAAATATAAAAGTTCAACTCATCTGATACAGTATATACCTCAGATTGAATAGGAATTTTAAACTGTTTGCTATCAAAAAAAGGAGATTAATTTCAGATTAAATCTGCAATTTGGTATACATTTACATAATAATCCCATTTTGCTTTTAACTTTGAAATATGCTTACGTGTATGGATATGCAAGGTTTACCAAAAATTGATCGTCATAAACAATTACATTACAAATGTTTGCCATTTTCTTCTAAACACTATACACACACCCATACCAGATGTGGAATTCAGCAGGTTCTGACCAGTTCTGGAGAACCAGAAATTTTGAGTAATTCAGAGAACCAGCAATTACCACCTCTGACTGGAGATTTTACAGTATCCTTCCCCTGCCACACCCACCAAGCCACACTCACAGAAGCTCACAGAACCCGTAGTAAAAAAAATTTGAATCTCACCACTGACCCATACATGTAGTAAATATGTATTTTAATGTCCTTGAAATCTCCAGGTACATTAAATGAATGAATGAAAACCAGATTGTGATCTTTAACAGAGTGACACATGAATAGGAATCCCTGTTCAACCTCGCCCCTTTACCACGAAAAGGTAAGATCGACCTTTCCCCCTTTATGGAAGCCATCCTTCTCTGGACACATGACCATATAACCTGTGGATGAAGTGGTAGCATCGCTGGAAAGCATGAGGCTCAAAACGATTACATAAAACTTCCATCTCACCCGTCTGTAAAAGGGAAACGGCACTTATAAGACAAATAGTGTTAAGCCATTATTGCCTGATGAGACACAATTGGCTTGATTTGTATTTGTCACCCCAATCGTAAACCATGGTTACAAATGACACTTGCTGCGTTCATACAGGATACGGAGAGATACATGGCATGCGAACTCATCAGGTATCTTTTCTTACGCCTGCTTATTAACCCATGAAAGTACAATAGTAAGTGGCACTTCTGTTCACACATTATTTTTCGATGGACAGACTGATAACGAGAAGTGTACTCACGCGCCAATAGCGGATTGCTGATTTCATACTCGGCATCGCTGAGCTTTCGCAGCTTGGACAAGTGGAGAGAAAACGAAAGGGGAAGGTGCTCGTGTAAATGCTTTCCTACCGAAACGGAAGCTGGGGAATAAACGTTCCGTGGGACAACCGAAGGGCGAATAAAAAAAGCTTTGTAGTTGTAAAGGTTGTGAATGAAGACCAAATCAGATACGTGAACAGAGCGAGTGCGCCATTATCTTCCCCGAGACTAGTTAAGGGCGTATCGTACCTGACATTTGTAAAGAATCCTACTTGAATAGAAGTCCGATACTTGTGAATATTCATACTGCTTATAAAGGATCTACCCGAACGAATCAGATTACATCTCCACAAACCAAGTCATGCGTCAGTATACTGCAGAAAAATTACAGAAACGAACATTTGTGCTACAGCTCCTTACATTAAAATTTTATTTGGAAGCACGTTATAAATCATGCCCATCTACTTATGTAAATTAGCATGATTATAGAACTGTTTCTGATATTGCCACAGCACAAAATGTACAGAAGTGGTGCCTCAGATTCACAATTTTACAGGACGTAGGATTTTTTTTACTGTTATGGGAGACAAATGTGACCTATAAGACTCTGATAGGTGGGATCCAGGACAAGTGTGCATGTGTTGTCTGCATGTCATAATCACAAAGGGCAGAAGCCGCCGGATAACTCTATTTCTTCAGAATATATCTGGATTTTGTTGTACTTTGCAGTCTATTCAACAATTTCCATACTTCCCAGCTTTTGCCACTCTGATGCCAGCTCCTCCAATAGTTCCATCCAATGTTAGTTCTTTGCAGTTTTCCATAGGTCCTCTCTGCATTTATATACATATCCCTATTTATATAAATTGTAAAAGCTGTAATATAATTTATTCTGTGTTTGAATATCTGCTTTTCTTACTGGGGCAATATATTTCTGATTTAACCTGTTTGATTCTGATTGTTTAACTTCCTAAATCTATATTAAGATTTGGAACATCTTATGTATGTACCTAATCAATTTTTAATTGAAACTGAAAGCAATATAAAAGTGGTATTAACCATGTGACATTTGAAATGACTTTGAATATCTTATTCTAAAGTTCAAAATGTGGTTATTAGTAGATTTTTTTTCACAAATATTATCCATTTTAAAGAATGCTCTAAAGAATTTGGAAGAATGAAACAATAAAACATGATTACGACTTGTCCTTCCATTGCTACATTTTGGCCTAAAATGTAGTATGACTTTTATCTATTAGATCTATTATTTATCACATGTTTTAGTTGTAGAACATATCAACATTAAATTTTATACTCTTTTAATGGATGTTGCAAAGAAAATTACTATACAGGAATAATTTTGTTGTATCCAATTGATTGTAAAAATATTTGTTCTAAACATTTGAATTTTTTAGACAATTTATTTTTGAGTTTGTAAAAAAGTAGTGTTCCCCTTTTATTTTTAAGATGTATATAAGTTTTATTCCAATAAATTGTCTTTTGTAATTTCATTATGCTTACTCAAAATCATAATTTAAAAATGAAGTTTATTGGATTACTTGGAAAACAAGCTTTCTGTCTAGCCTTCCTCATAGAGTTGTTGTGAAGATAAGATTGTGGGAAGCCCTAGATTCCTTGAAAGGAAATACAGAATAAAATTCTGTACGCTGACAGGAGAAAAATATCCTGGGTGAAAAAATGTTACCCTATACTCTTCAAGCATGTCGATAGAAATGAAGAATTAATTTTCAACTATTCTCTTTCCTTTCTAAGAAAAAGACAGCTAATGCATAGAGTCCCTGAGCTCTAGGACTAGTGAGATCTGTTCTGACTTTTCTGTTTTTAGTATGTTCCAGCAGATTCTGCTAGTCAGTATTTTCCCAAACTGACAAATAAAAACATTTATGTTCTGAATGAAGAGTTATTTCTCCTATAATTATTTCTCATGAGGCATAGTGCCATGTAGAAGGGGAGAGGATAACTCTCCCTTTCTAGGCTATTTTAATTTCTCCTTTTGAAGGAAAACACAAATAGCAATACTAATGAACATAGAAAAATGAAGAAACATCTTAAAAACTGTAGCAGGCAGTCTGTCAAATTATGTCAATGAAAATATCTACACACATTCTAATCAAGGCATTTTCATCTCTTCAAGGAAGGTCCCTCCTGACAACACCATTGTTTTGATCAAATGATGGTAGAAATGACATCCCAAAAAAATATAGTTATAATATTCCTGACTCTTTTAGTTGGTAGACTCACAAATTTAACTTTTTTAATGTAAGTTTTTGCTTGTTAATTTAACTGAGTTATTTTGGATAATTCATTCTCAATTGAATCTATTTTAGAAAAATGAGACTGGAAAGGAGAAAAAAAGGAGTCAGATATATCAGTTATGAGTTCTCTAAACATAGCAGGATAAAAATAATATATATTCCTTTTCTGTAAATAATGGGAAATGTGCAGAACAAAAAAATCCTCCAAAAAAGAAAAAGACTGGACCACAGCTATTCATGAAAAGAAAGTAATATGAGACATACATTAAAATACTACTGTGTATTTCATTCATTTCAGCAAATGATTTAACACAATTACAGCAAATATGATTCAAAAAGTTTTCATTGTCTAAAATAGAGTATATGGCAAAAATTCAAGACACAAAATTGATCCGATTATTATGGTTGTGCAAAACAAGTGAATGAGGTGCTTCACAAAGTACATTAGCTAAACAAAGCACCTATTTTTCTTGAAGCATTAAAGCATCCAGCTTCTCTGGAATTTTCGTAAGATTATTTTGAAGGTAATCTTAGATTTTCTATGCATGCATGCACGTTTCATTAGAATTGTCAACCAAGCAATTATCCATGAAAATACACGTGCAGGCAGCAATGAACAGTTTTTGAAAGAAAACGGGTATCAGTTTCAAAACACCTTTTTGCAAGTTTCTACAGCCTTACTTGTGATTTAGTCTAATTTTATCTGACAAATCTAGGTATTATGCCCAAGTGGGACATTATCTAGTGAGGCTTTCTCTTGGATTAATTTTCAATTGCATCCTTCTGTAATGTTAGTATATACAACTCTTTAGCAAACTGGATAACATGGAATCATGTCAATCTAAAAATTTGCATTTTTTCCACACTATTGTGAAATACGCACCAGGATAGAGAAATACTAGGCCTCAAGGGATAGAATGCATTAAGGACTGATTGGATAGTAGTTGTTGCTAGCTATTGATGCCTTTTTCTATACTACACACATAAAAACACTAGTAGAATTCTTCCAAATATTTTGCTTTTCTTCTCTGTAGATTGGGTAACAGCTTTCTTCATCATGAAAAGGCACAAACTCCATAATACAACCAAAAAAGAACTGACACTGTGTTCCACTGAAACAACCTTTAAAGTGAACCCTAGTAAAATAACATTCAAATTGGCATTAATATTAAGGATAGCTGCATTGCTGAAGGAAATACTCCTTAGAAGAATTAGTCAAATACAAATGTTCACCTATCAAGCTATCAAGCAACACAATACAGAGAAGTAATTATCTTCTGTGCTAAACTAATCTGAAAAAAAGGTATTGCTCCTAAACAGTTAAAAAAGAATTATAGAAAATTAAATTGCCAATTTATAATTCACAGGAACTATGCATGCATGCATGCATGCATGCATGTATATGTATATATGAATGAATGCATTGGTCAAATCAACTGAACTTTCTAGAGACTATTTCTTTCAGCATAATAAAGGTTTTTAAGTAAAACTCACCTGTCAGAAACTTCTGGCTAAGATAGTTTGTTGGAAAATAAATGCCCACTTTAGTGTAGATATTGATTAACATATTAAAAAGTTGTTTTCTCTTGATATTTATAAGAAAATATTGACCTTGCATTTAAACTTAACATGTGCAATGTTTCCTCTATTGTGAAGATTTTTCTGAAGATCATCCACAAAGACAAAATATAGAATATTATAAATACTGATTATCCCTTTAGTTATGTATCAGCTAAATTTTGGAAGATGAGGTAAAATATATGGCCATCATTAACTTTTGTTTTTTATCAGGACTCCTGTCAGTAATTCACTTAAACAAAATTTCAAATGATGTCCTGTTATTTCAATAAGAAAAATGTGAAAGATACTGTTTTTCTTTTTCTTTTAAAGGCCTAATGTATGAGGAAACTTTTATGTTATAAAAGACTATAATTAGACTACTGTTATGTAGACAGGCACTATGAAGACTAAATCCCCATATATCGGAATTAAAGAATCATATCAGACGCGCTCACAGGAGGCAGAGTGAACTTGTAATTTTGCTGCTTCATTATGTTCATCACATTGATGTCCTTCCGGCATTTTTTTAGTTCACAAGACAAGTAAGATTGTGTCCAAAGTTAAGATTTCAGTGATTCTGGCATTGGGAAGAGGTTGATGGCTCTCGATCCGCAGAAGAGATAATTCCAACTAGTTGGGAATTTGCCGTCTCATGATTATTGACCTCATCATTAAAACTCTGCTCACTGTCCAGGCTTGGGATTGCCCAGATATCACCATGATTGCAACCAGTGGGATGAATTTTAAAACTGTTGTTTTCTAAAAATAAAATATTTTTATTAATATTAATAAACACCAAATAGCAAATACCATACTATGTAACAAAAATGTCACTGAACAGAACAAGATTTACTGATGCGCAACACACATAAATCTGCACTGCACAGAAATTTATTTCAAATACATCTCTTGTGTGCTAAGACCTTGAAACAACTGGGTCAAATGCAAAATATCCCCTGTATAAAATTCTTTGAAAATCTCATTCATCTGAGAATTCATGGTAAATTAGGAATGCTGCTTTCAGAATCTTTTCTCATACCTGTTTTGTCACAAATAAATACTTTCTCCCATGCATAGTTCATCAAGTTTACAGGTTGAAACACCCAAGGATCCTGTATGACCATTTCTAGAGTTATTCGATCCTGTGGAAAAGGCTTCAAGAGTCCAGAGAGGAGACTCATCAGACCTAAAGAAAGAAAAGAGAAACACCACCATATTAGCCTTCAGCTTGCCTTTCAGATATTCTACTTTCATTGAAT